AAATGACAATAAGTAGGTTTGACTGAAAACAAAACCTCATAAGGTGATTTGTTTGACAATGATGAACTTGGTATGCGATTTATGAGATATGTTGCTGTAAGAATGTATTCACCCCAAAATTGTTCAGGTAATTTAGCTTGATGTTTATATTCAACCACACCGTTTTGCTAGTTTGATGTAACATTCCTTTAGAATTATAAAAATCAGCCATGATGAATTCAGCACCATTATCAGATCTCACAATTTTTATTTTGGTATTGAATTGAGTTTCAATCATGCCGAAAAAGGTTTGAATTATTTTTCTTGGTTTGAGATTTGTGTCTCATTAAAAATGTCCAAGTAGACCTACTGTAATCATCTACTATAGTCAAGAAGTATTGTGAGCCATCAAGTGAGTGAACCTGATAAGGCCCTTAGATATCGCAGTGGATGAGTTCAAAAACTGACTGGGAATTATGCATACTTTTAGGAAAAGGCAAACGATGTTGCTTTGCCATAGGGCAAATATTACAATGAAAGTCAGAAGTAGATACAATTTCTAGTACAGATTTACGTAGAACAGAATCTTTAGAGTGAGGAATATGTCCTAGCCTATAGTGCCATAGTTCAGAAGGCAAACGAGTTACAACATAAAAACTATGAATATGGTTATTATCTATGACCTTATTACAATCAGTATGAATAGGTGCAGAAGTTTTGACATGAGATTGATGCAGAACGGATTTCGAAGGACTGCTAAATTGGAGGTGGTACAAGCCAGCTTCAAGCTTCCCCATTCCAATCATTGTCCATGTAGAAAGGTCCTGAATGAAACAATAGTTGAGTAAGAATATTAGGCAACAATGATGAGAATAAATGAGTTTGCTAGCAGAAATTAGATTGCATTTGAATGATGGAATACACAACACATTGGTCAATGAAAAAGTCTCAGACGGCTTCACAGTCCCTATGTGAGTCACCAGTGCAACATCTCCATTAGGAAGTTTGACATTTGTATTTACCATAACAGTAATGGTGGTTAAATGAGTAATAGAACTCACCGTGTGATTAGTGGCACCATTGTCAATGATCCATTCATTCTCTACATTTGACACTGCTAAACAGAAAGTATTACCTGAAAAGGCTGAAGCATCTGGTATGACAGGTGCTTGAGATGGATGAAACTCAATGTTGTCAAGAGGACTAATAGCTAGATGAGCTTGGTTCTGACTCGCAGTAGTGCCAGAATGAGTAGCTGAATTCGAAAACTGAGTTTAAAGATGAAGTTTCAATATATTGAGAACCTGTCGACATTGTTATGGTGTGATGGCCCAGTTGGAAAACACATTGGATATGCTTGGTGAAGCAGAAACCTGATTAGCACTGTAGACTTTGTCCTTTGCCAACCTATGACCAGGGAGATATCCATGAAGCTTGTAACACTTTCCATGTAGATGTCCAAGTCCACCACAATAACTGCACTTCGGTCTGTCCTTCCTGAAATTGTTATTATTATGCATAGTAGGTCTCTTATTGGCACCATAGTTCATTGATCCAGCTATAGTCTACTCATAAATGCAGTAGATTTGACATTTATCTTATTTTTGGATGCCACATCCTTTTGCTTTTCATCCCGTTGAACTAATGCAAATACTTAATTCAACGGAGGCAAAGGATCCATCATCAGAATTTGGCTACGAACATTGGAATAACTATCATCTAATCCCATCAGAAATTGTATGATCTGTTCTTCTTCATAATAAGAGTTGTGATTCTGAGGTCTATAGTTCGATAACTCCTCCCATAAACCTTTCAGCTTATTAAAATAGGTACGCAAAGACCCATTTCCTCTTGAAATCGAGACAATCAATTTCTTCAGCTGAAAAGATTCTAGGTCCATTGCCTTGACTGTGTCTATCCTTTAATTCCAACCAGATCTGACGTGCTGAATCCTTGTGCATAACACTGGGATATAGTTGCTTAGGAATTGAATTTATTATCCATAATGAGACAATGTGATTGCATCTTCGCCAAGCAGCAAACAGAGGTGTGTCTAGAGAAGGTTTAGGTATAGAACCATCAATAAGTCCTTCCTTATTTTTCACACTCAATGCAATTTCTACAGCACGGCTCCATGTCGAGTAATTCTTGTCTAAAAGCATAACCGAAACGATCTACATACCTGTGTTATCTCCATAGTGCAAGTAGTAAGGGCTCGAAATATCAGTGATCTCTCCGGTGTACATCAATGACTGGATTTTCATTGTGATTAGCATCTTGCGAATCAATCGAGCCTTTGATTCTGGTTTCTGAATGCATTGCCATGAATGGAAGCTCTCAATGCTCTGATACCATGTGAACTTTATACAAAATCAGAGAAAATATCTTTGCAAAAATGGAGGGAAAACACATAATGAAAAACTGAATTTCTTATTATTGAATGTGTGTGTAAAGACAGCATATATATATACAAGTCTGAGCTGACAGCTTAGCAAGCTTAACAACTTATAGCAGAATGGAGGTTAATTACATAAATATCCTTCTGATACTATCTGCAAGACCCTCTGCGCCACCCACTCCGGTGGATTTAGTCTGATATTGTAATGTGCAGAAACAAAACAGAAAGTAAGCTGTATAATTGCTTTTGCAAGGAACGATTTTTTTGTAAGGTGCCAAGTACAGATCCCACAATTACTAATTAAAGATAAATCTGCTCATAAATTGATGAGTAATTGATGGACCACACTTCAAGAGAGCAACTACAACAAAATATCATTCCTCAGTAAGAGATAAAAATGAACACCTCAGATTTCAGAATTGATAAGCTCTTCTACCGAATCTTTGTAACTTGAAATAAGATCCCTTCTTTGTTTTAGTAAGTTCTCAGTGTCTACCAGTTTGTGCTTTTGCTCCTCCACTGTCTTCGATTTTGCCTTAACTGTCTCTGCAATTGAGTTCAACAGCTGTTGGCCCTTCTCAAATTGGTTGTTCAACTCGGTTACCAATGCATCAGTTGCTGATTGGCGAGGAAATGGCATTTACTCCGTTTAAACTCCAAATGGGACTTCGGGATTTTACTCAATTTCATCCAGGTTGAGATTTTCTTGAGGGATTTTGGAGGGTAATAATTGAGTTTTGTGCTGGGGCGATGACAATATTTCTGTTTCCAAACCCCAAATCCCAGAAGTCAAAATGGTTATTGTCATTGGCGATTTGTTGTACAAACTATAGTGAAATGATATGGATCAAAATAACGCATTGTTGTGAAACAAAGACATTTTAGGTATATTTATCAAATCTATGTTATTATTATTCCATTTTTTAATAAATTAATCAAAAAGTCTAACCTTTTTTATTGTCCGAAGAACATTGAGATCCAGATAAAGATTGCTTTCTTTTTGGGTTTTATTAGTTGGAAGGCAAGGGTAATTTACATTATCGTATTAAATTAAATAAAATTAATTAATGTTATTATTTCTAAACTTAGTCAAGATATATTTATGATAAATTCTAGGATATATCAAATATCTATTAATACTGTTTTTTTCACCAAATTTCATAAGCCCCGACTTCATTTTTATCTCTTCGAACTTAGAAGGGAGTCTTATGATGAAACATTGAGTTCCTCATCTAATGCAAGGTTTAAATGCACTCATCAACTGAGTGATAATATCGTCAAGTTAAGGAGATAACTAATTGTTGCTTGAATCTCTTTTAAGAAAACCTTGAGGGGTAGCTCAATTGATCAGCCATTGAGTTTGCTCCCCAATGGTCACCCGTTCGAGTTCCTTCAAGAGCATTGAGGTGAGTACCCGATCGTAAGTTTCAGGGTCCCGTGGGATAAGTCGATATGGGCATAAGTTGGTCCGAACATTCACGGTTATAAAAAAAAAAAAAATCTCTTTTATGAGAAAATTCCATTCACGATTGTAATTTAATTGAGGGCCTGTTTGATAACACAAAATTTTATAGGGAAATTGGAATTCGTTTTTCATTTTCCACTTTTATGCTATTTGGTAGGCTAAATTTTCCACGGAATTCATTTTCCACCAAATTCTTGGTTTTCCTTGAAAACTTTTTTTTTTCTTCAATTGGAATGAATTCTATTCCCAATTGTAACAAATTATATCCCTTCACTTGACAATTTTCATGAAAAATAAAGCCAAACGAATGGTATTCGGTATAGTAATTTTTTTTTTTTCTTCAATTGGAATGAATTCTATTCCCAATTGTAACAAATTATATCCCTTCACTTGACAATTTTCATGAAAAATAAAGCTAAATGAATGGTATTCGGTATAGTAATTTTTTTTGGCAATTAGAACAAATTCTAGACCTAATGGTAAACAAAATTATCACTTTAATGGATAATTTTCATGACAAATGAAGTCAAACGGACACCAAACTTTCAACATTTTTCAGGTAGAAAATTATACCAATCAAACACAATTAATTACAATTCACAGTAAAACAAATTCTAATCAATTCAATTCCCTATAATTCATTTTATTTCCACCAAAATTCCACCTATGCAATCAAATGGACCCTTTAAATACAATTGTTTCTAAATAATAAAATCGCTCCAAACTATTCTTGACTTTATGAACCATTAGTTTAAATAATTTGAATTTATGGCATACACCAAATTAAGTAAATAGAAATTTCCAACAAATACAATTTTTTTTTTCAGTTATATTAATGGGTCGTGATATAAATAGTAATATATTTACAATGACAATAATTCTTTGGAACCGTAAACTCAATTAAAAGAGACAGATAAATATAACGAACATCATAAATTTGTAGGAGTCATACGTAAAATTTGATCATTTTATGACTTTATGACATGTTTAGTAGAGCGATTATAAGTATTGAATAAATATTAAATAAGTCAAAACCATTAATCTTATTTACTGTACCATCCTATTTGATATTTTGCATGTGGAGTAGGTTTCACTGATGAAATTACCCAAAAAATAAAAAATAAATTCTAAAGATAAAGAAAAGAATGAGAGGAAGAAATGAGAGAAAATCCCAAACCAAACAAGGCCTTAGATTCAAAGCAGGTGAATCTGCTAATTGAACGCAACAGCCGATTTGGTACAACCGCTCATTGCAGAGCCGTAGACCCACGCGCATTCAAACTGGAGACATGTTGTCTGCAGTTCCATTTGGTGCAATAGACAGCAGTAATTTGTACACTGTTGGAATAAGGGAAATCGACTCAGATGGTCCCAAACCTTTTCTAATACTGCGTAATTGGTCAAAATATTTCAAATATTGCGTTAATGGTGCCAAAGCATTTCAATTTGGTGCAAATTATCCTTTTAGACGGTTTCCATCTATAAGGTTTGTTAGTTTGGTCTTTGAAATGCAATTGACCTTATTGTCTTTATTTGAAATGACGTTTTAAGAAATCGTCCCCCAAAGATCCAGATCTATCAGTGACTCTTCATCTCCAAAGATCGCCCACAACGGTATACACTAGGATCCATTTTCTCTTAATAGTAATATCAAGATTCGGAAATAGTGTTTCTGCCAACTATGTTCAATGTATTAAACTTATTGGTAGGGGATTTTTTAATTTTTGGCGAAAGCAAACAAATATGCGTACTTGACAAAATAGCCCTTCAAATAAATAATAATAATGTCAGTTGCATTTCAATGACCAAACTAACAGTCATTATAGACGGAAATCATCCAAAATGATCATTTGTGCCAAAATTGAAAAGGTTTGGGACCATTTACATCACACTTGAAAGGTTTAAACCAATTATGCAATATTTGGAAATGTTTGAGACCATTTGCGCCAATTTTCCATTGAAATAATAAAAAGAACCTTTTGTAAATTCCAACATTTTTTTTTGAAAGCATAAATTTAAACTTTTTAAAAAGAAAAGAAGATAGATAGAAAACTTTTATTTTCTTTTATTAAAAGCAAAAATTGCATTCTTTACAAGGAAGCGTTCCACCAAAAGTGATGGCTACATGTATAATTTATTTTTCTTTTATGTAAAAAATTGATACTCACAACCTTTCCATTCCGTAAATCAAAATAATATGTGAACTTTTATAATATTTGAATCCTACTGATATATACAGAACGATAATTTGTTCCAAAAATCAATAATCCCCTCCTTCACCTTTGGTCATCCTCTTTAGAGGAGGGATGGGGTTATAGGATTAGGAGTTGAGACTAAAGCTAATGCAAGTGTGACCAAGTGATTGAAGAGAGAAGGGAATCACGAGTTGGCGAAAAAAGAGTTAGAATAAGTGTACCTTTTTTATATTTTTTAACTCTTATTCGATTAGCCAGATATTCCTTTGAAATAGATTGCGAGATGTGACGTGTGAGTGTAACTGAAAAGAATTCCGCTATGAAGGATGTAAACAACACAAAATTGAAAGTTTTGGACTCAAATGCATAAAACCCAACTACGTTAAATTACTCCATTTTCCACAGTACTATAGCGCGTAGTTTCCGATATCACACCTACCCCACGCCACCCCCCTCTCTCTCTCTCTCCAGTTTTTTCTCAACCAGTGCCACTAAAATCTACCGATCTCATTACACCCTAAAGTTCTCTTTTTGAATTCTAATTCCCTCTAAAAATCCCGATTCTAAAGGCTCACACAATCTTTTTCTCCTAGTAAGTTTCCTTGCGTTTTGTTTTTTGTGTGTATTAAATGTAAGTAATGGGTTTGGAGTAATATTTCATTATATGCTGATTAAGACATGTTTGTAAGCAATATGTTTTACCTCGTTCGATTTCTACTCTGATTCATGGAAATCAGAAACCAGAAGAGGAAATTTGTGAGCAGAAAAGAGTTTTTCATATTTTTAGCAAGTATACTTAGTGATGTAGGATGTATAACAGTTTTGTGGTGTGGGTTTTGTTTCCATTTTTTTCTTTGATACGAGGGATGAAAAGTTACTGTGCGTTATGTGTAATTAGAATGAAATTCTACATATGGAAATGAAGTGGAAGTTCCATATTGATTACAAGGGTTTTTATTTTTGTTTTGGAGTTTTCTTTCTAATTTACTAAATGGTGGAAAAACTGTGGAAATAAATGATTTTGGCATAACTGTTATTATTAATATAAATCAGTTAAAGACTGGTTTTTAAATGTTTGAGATATGGAGTTAACTCAGCCGATTATGTTGATTGTTTCAGTTTACAAGAATTATGAGTACTCGGCTAGTAGAGATTCAGCCACGTGAACTTAAGTTCACAGGTACGCGAATGAAATGAAATCGTGCAATTACATCACTCATATGAATATAGATATGTGATGAATCCATTTGTTATGCTCTTGACGTTTAATTATGTGAATGATTGCATATTTTTTGCTTGGGCACAATTAACGCAGGAATAGAGGGATACATCACATATTTGATGATATGGCAATCTGTTCATTATTTTTAGTCATTTAGGAGAATAACTTCTTAGAGATGCATTAACGTAGTGGCTGCATTTGGTGGATGGATTTGGGCTTTCCGGATATAATCACAATAATTCCCACTCAACGTGGAATATAATTTTTTCTTAATCTAACTTCTAATACCTCACTTCCATGCAGCCAAGCGTAAAATTATGAGCATCTATTGCACTTGGATACTTTTGACTTACACAACCACGTTCCATTTTGCGGATACTAGATATTTAAAAAAAATGTGAGATGTATACATCTGGTTTGACTTCTACTAAGCTCAAGGGCCAAGGCCCCACCGTTTAAGTATTAACTCATCGTTTTGGTACTCACTCAGTGCTCCATGAGTGCCACCCTGTTGTAGTATTGTTACATACTGTCCAAATCACCTAAGGTTATTCTCATATGAAAAACAACGATTATACGATCTCTAGGAGAAATGGCATGGAAATATTTTCCTTAAATCATGAATCCTTGCTTAGTCAATTAGAAAAATAAGAATCTTTCTGATACATGTATAATTGAGTAATCATGGTATATACAATTCAAAATTTCAAATGGCAGTTGTTATTAACTTATGTGTTTATTTCCCAACATCGGCTTTGTTATATCTTGTTCCTTTCCTTTTGTTGTCTCATTTATATTGTAATTTGTCAATCCATCACATCTTCACATTATTTAGGCAATTAATCATTGTGTTCTATGTCCAATTTGTAGCATTTTTCTTGAACAATTGCACGACTCTGACTCCTTTCTTCAAATCTTTAGTTGAGGCGATGAAACAAAGTTCGTGTGTTGTTGACCTTACCAATGTTACCGACCAACATGTAGCTTTCAAGGTGAAGTAACTTCTGATCGTGTACTTTAAGCATGCTAATTCACTTTACCTACATACCTTTGAATATGATTTATTTTTGTCTTGTGGCATGGTAATCTACTTAGCTTAGTTTTCAAGCATTCATTTTTTTCGAGCATAAGGATTCCTATGGAAAAACGTGACATAACTGCAATCTTCCTTTTTCAAAGATAACGCTTAAATGGCTGTGCAACTTTTTTGGCAGGTGAAGACTACGTCGCCAAAGAAGTATTGTGTACGCCCTAATGTCGGCATAATCATGCCAGAGTCAACATGTCCTTTCACAGGTTTGTTATATTTTCATGTTATGTAAAACTATTAAACAACTACGTGTGAAAGCAGTGAATCAGATTGTAAACTGTAAACATGAGGATGGAAACTTATATATATAAACCTAAGCAGATGTTCCTTAAACAACGATTCATAGTTTATCCGCAGTATATCCTATTCCTTGCACCAGAAAGCTGGAAGTAGGGAGTTAACTTGAATGCACACTTTGCGGACATCAAGCCAAGCTTGCAGCTTTTGCAAAGATGTCCGTATCACATTATAAACAATTAGTTGTAAATGATAATTCCAAAATTTTCCATGTTTTAAAGCACTTTCCGCGGTTCATTTTTTGCTTCACCTTGTTTATACCTTTATTATTTGTATCACATAAGCTTGGGACTAGAGGTGTTTTTTTATTTTTCAAGCTGCAATTTTTACTGCTGTTAGACTTTTCTAGAGTCTGCTAATTGACATTTTCCATCTTCGGAGATTCAGTTACCATGCAATCACAGAAATCAGCTCCAGCCAATCTGCAATGCAAGGACAAATTCCTGATCCAGTGTACTGTTGTGCCATTTGACACAACCGAAGCAGAGATTCCTCCCATGGTAAGAATATTCCAATTGGATATTTGTACACAATTTCTTGCTCTCTTTTTTGTGCTTTTGCCACAGATGATAGAAAATAGTATGAAGATTGGCTTCAGTATTTCGAATTCTTTTTATTCTGACAGTTTGCAAAAGATAGTAAAAATTATATTGAAGAGACCAAGCTTAGGGTTGTTTTGACTAGTCCACCTCAATCTCCAGTGTTGCTGCCAGTTAATGGGGTTTTGAAGCCAGAGCCATCATATCAGACTTCAATGCTGAAAGATAAATTGCAGTTGGGAGTTGAAAATCCCCCCCATGAGTTGGTGAGAAATTTGAATATATTTTACACCTTTAAACCATGGGCAAATTAGGCTATGATTCAGGCGATTTATTCTTTTTTTCTTCAACTTGATGAGAACAGCTGCTAATTATTTTCTTGAACATATGAGCTATTCTGCTTTATCACTTATATGACGAAGTTGCATCCCTTATTTGGAAAAAGGAAAATGAAAATGAAGCTGTTATGCGATATATTTGCCTCATCACTTGAATTTTCATTTAAGTAAATTTGCATTAAATTTTTGTACTATAATTCCTGGATAATGGTAGTTATAGTAATTACCATGAAGTTTGACATCTGGATTGTTAGATTTCATTTTTCATTGATGAATTTTAAATCAAATATATTTCTTATTTGATTAAAGAATATTTTCTTAAGAGACGTAATCGAGTTACTAAGTTTTTCCTGAGAGGCAGCTGATTAAGAATGTCAAGGATGTCAAAATTGCTGCGAACAAGGAAGGTTCTACATCTCCTAAGGCTGTGGAAAGTTCCACATTATTCCCTACTAAGGATGAGGACTTTAGCCCTAGCAAGGAGGAATCAAGAAAAATTGAGGATGTGGAAGTGGCAAAATCAAGACAAGTCGAGGATGTGGAAGTGGCTAAATCAAGACAGGTTGAGGATGTGGAAGTGACAAAATCAAGACAGGTTGGTGATGTGGAAGTGACAAAGTCAACAAAAGTTGAGGACATGGAAGTGACGAACGCGAGAACAGAAGAGGATGTGGAGACAAAATCAAGACACGTCGAGGATGTGGAAGTAAAAAGGTTATCTGAAGACATTCAGGAGTTGAAGACAAAGATGAGTGCCTTGGATTCAAAGCTAATTGAGGTTTGTCTCTTTATCACAAATGTTAAAATTTGGAGCTGTGGAAGCAATTAAAGAGCGACATACTTTTTTGGAAAGTAGGCACCAAATGACCAAATATGTTCGATATTGGCAAGTTAAAATCTTTTTCCTGCATTGTCATCTCTTTTCTCTATGATTTCTGCATCGGCTGATAATACATTGTTATTAGCACTGGTAGCCATGGCCTGAATATATCTTTTTGTGGCAAGTGATTGCTTTATTTTGATGAAAAATCTTGTTTAGGAAACAAATTCACATGGTAGGTTTCATAGCAAAGATTGGATAGTCATGTAGAATTAAAGAAGATCGGGGAAAAAAGTGCTACGCTGTTGACTGGCCATTTTTTCTCATTTCGTCAATTAATGTTCATTTATGCTTCTTTCGATATGCTTAGCACTGTTATCTCTTACTTTCTTTGCAGGCTGAAAATACCATCATGAAACTAAAAGAAGAAAAAAGCAGCGCCGTTCATGAGAAGGAAACATTAAAGCAAGAATTGGTTGGTGACATCCTACACTTTTATTTTTTTCTATTATGTTTTAAAGATATTTTTCATGCCATTTACCCTAAAATACTATCCGTTCTTTCTCATTATGGCTGAATGGGAAAATGATGGCAGATGCCATTACTTTTTCTATTTATTCCGTGGCTTTTGGTTCCCAAGTCAGTGGGGGTAATTAACCTATTCTGGTAAACAAGGGAATTATCAGGTTTTCAAGGAAAATACAGAGGGTAAACTACATGTTTTAATTTGTTTCCTTGTTTAGTAAGATTTTATGTTGGCATACATGTATCAAAATCTCGTTTCGCTACCGTAATTTGTTGATATCATCCCCCCTCCCAAGGTGGCGGATAACCTATTAAATTCATCGAATTGGTCTCCATATTTTTTGGCCTGTGTATCTTTGATGGATTTGATTTAATGCTATCTTGGTTTCATCGTCCTGCTTGTTGACGTTTGGTCTCCATCCATCTTTTCAGGCAATGTTGAGGACATCGAAGGGTAAGATGCAAGTTCAAGTTGGTTTCCCTCCGCTGTTTGTTTGCATGGTCGCCCTGGTTTGTCTCACTATTGGAATCGTACTAAGTAAAAATTTTATGCTTGCCGCGAAAGAACTTTAATCCAGTATGATGGATAGCAGAGGGTCTAGTGATTTGTTAATTATGCCATCTTTTGTACTGTGATTGTTAATAGCTCTCAACGATATATTTCAATAACGAGTGTAAAAGAACGTTTCTTCAAATACTAGAAAATGCGCACTTTTTAAACTTTTTACCCATTTTTCGTATCAACTAGGTGCAAGCAACGTGCAATGCACGTTTGCCTAGTTTATATTTAATAGTTTTGTTTAAAAATTAATTTGTTATTAATAAAGATATAATTTTTTTGGTTAATTAAATAATTAATAATGTAATGTTTATGTAATTGATAAATAATTAGATGTGTGATTTTGATGTTGTGATGTAAGTTGGTGAGATCGAAGAAAATAAGCATAAGTTGACAAATTTGGAGAAAACGCTAAATTGTAAGGGGTCCAAAGTTCGGGGACTAAAATGTAAATACTTAAAAGTTGTGTCGAACTTCACGATGAAGATTTGAGAGTGCTCGAAGTCAATTGGATAAAGGAAGGCGTCAATGGAATCAAATTTAGTCAAAAGATGATCACAAATCAATTTCCAACCGAAAAGTTATGCTCCGATATTTTAGTCTCATCTTGAGACCTATTTTTGGCATAGAAAGTGATCGAATTGGAGAATGATGTCTGAATCAAAGTTGTAGCCAGATGAGTTAGCTTTCCAACGCACTTTGAATCGGCTCAATTAGACATCGGAATACAAAGTTATGATAAAAAATCGAAATTTTAGGTGAGTTTATCGTTCGTTTTTTCCTTCGGAGTTGAGTTTCATTAGCTTTTCACATACGATTTCTGAGTTGGAAGAATTTCCTATTATGTAGGACGTTATATTAGAAAAAAAATAGTGAATTTTAACCTTCAATAAAAAAAAAACCTCGGTGGCCAATTTGAAAGATAAGAAAGTTTAGCGACTCGTGAAAAATTTTAACCGCCAGTAGAAAGTTTAACTAGCAATGGTACAATACTACATTGAACGAATTCATCTAAAAGTGTGAATATTTTCATTTCAGCAGAATGGATAGTATTTATTTTGGCCAAAGTTCTAACACCCAAAAATGTTGAAAATAATTTCATCATAGAACATCATTATCAACATAAACCAAAAAAATTTATAATTGCATTCTGATTTTAGCTCAAATGTAACGTGAAAACAATTTACAGAAAGCCATACACAAAGATACGTGCTTACAAAAATATACACCGATTTGGTGCTCCATAACCTCGGCCGGGAAGGGGACAACCTGCCGGATTTTCCCAAAATACGAACTATTGGGTTAACAATTACCCAGAAAGATAACAAGAATCGGACCAATGCCACTGCAATGAATAAGTTTGTGCCATGCTAATTTAGACAACGCTATCATCCACACAAATAAAAATACTCCATAATATTAACAAGCGAAAAGCCAAAACCTGATTGCATAAGAGACTATGCTTAGTGTTTCTCTTCTTGCCATTGTTGCCCACTTCGTTCGGTTGGAGAGCCTGGAACATATGGCACAAAACCCCGTCCACCAAAAACAGGACGCATGAAGCCATCATCAAATTTTCTCCAGTAATAGTGGACAGTGCGTGTAGGCTTCCTCAAGAGCATCCTTAAACTGCTTGGACGAAGCACATTCCGATCACCTTGATTAGCTTCTGAATCCTGACCATTAACTACACTTTGTTCGTCCAGATCAAGTTCGGGATCGTGTTCATTGCCAAGAAGTGGTACGATGAAGGATTTTGGAGTAACTGACTCTGAAGAAATCATTCTGCTTAATTGCTTCGATGAGGGAAGCAAGAGCCTCACCAAAGGTTTCGTCATCAAGCCAAACACCTGCAAGGAGTCGAAAGAATAATTGCAAATTATTTATAATGAAACATGAAATTGAGTGCTCACTTCTGAAATTACACTTATAGCACCTTAAAAAGAGAGTATTTTTCTTTGGAAAGTTTACCAATAAAACAAGCAGGTATGTAAACTAAAAATGCCTAAAAGAGGTAATTTTCACAAAAGCCAAACATGATTGCCAAAAAAAGTTGCTTACATGATCTAAGTGGTGAGAAAAAAGATTCATGTAGTTAGGAAAGAGGCTTAGTTTATTGTTTTTATATTTTGTGTCTAGCTCTTCCACGTGCTAGATGTCTTACCACTGTACTGAAAAGAACGACTGTTATGGTACTAGTAATCATGATAGCGTTTCCATGTCGCTGAGTATGTCCTGATTTTGTGAACTGCATAAAATAAAAAATAATGACTCAGTTAGATTATTCCTCCATTGTAGACAATAACTCATGTTGAGCATGTTATCTATATCGAGTGTACCTGGTTATAAGCAAGGGCCATGGAAACAGCGCCTCGCATAAGACCAGCCCACCATACTGTGACCTGCAGATTACAATTAGTAAGATTATTAGATAGGCCAAGTAAATGAAGAATCTCGTAAATTTGAAATGAGAATGTTTAAGCTCATACTTGCTGCTTAAAACCAATTTTTTCATATGGAGACTTCTTGGTCAAGTTGGACAAGAATGATAAAGGGAAAACAAAGGCTGCTCTTCCAACCAAAATCAATCCCAGTAGAATAGAGCTCACGGATACTGATGTTTTGGGGCTGACAATTGAGAAGGAACAAACACACACACACACACAAAAAAACCGTCATTAAATCCCATTACTATTTGTGCAGTTTGGCTAAGCTTAAAACAAGTGAAAGAACTTTTTTTGTGGAAGTAATTACTCGCTTTTAAAGAGGTTTTGAATCAAAAACCTGATAAAAGAGTAACTTGTTTGGCTAAGCTTAAACAAAGTGAAAGAACTTTTTTTGTGGAAGTAAGTAATTACTTGCTTTTAAAGAGGTTTTGAATCAAAAACCTGATAAAAGAGTAACTTTTCAGATTAGCCAAACATGTTCGTAGTCCACCAAAAATGTCGAGGTGACTGTTTTCATTTACTTAGCGACCATACCTGTCACTTATAACTCTCCATTTCTCAATGTCCAGAGCATCCATACCAACATAAAGAAAAATGAATATCTCGGCAACAAATGACAATGTTGCAAAGGTGTGCCTGTAGAAGAGTTGATATACATTAATAGAAATTTATCTTGGGGAAGAGAGGGAAAGAGACACAAGGACAAAAACGTGTATCAAATTGTCTAGTATTATAAGAGACCCCATACTTGGTGGTGACCCTTGAGCTCTCAGTGACATTATGCCAGGTGTAATGCGACATCACAATCCCACAAAAGAACACAGTAAGAATAGCGCTTAAATCACATAACTGCAAAATATATCAAAGTTAGAAAGTTAAGACCTTAGTTCGAAGGTATGGGATTTCACACAGAACAAAAAAATGCAATGTTCGAAAAACTTACTTCGGCGAGCATGTATGAAAGGTAAGCCATCAACATCATAATAGCAACCTCACGATCGGTGGAATGCCTGGAATTGATCAGAAATTAGTTGTAAGGAATTTATCAATAAAGAAATCATCCATTGGTGTTCAAAACAAATGAATCAAAAACCAATCATCAAAAGATTAACAATGAACCAACAGCAAGGTTTCAAAATTTTGGTAACAAGGGCAAGTCTGGCACACAAGAATTCTAAGCCTTCATTGGAATCTTATGCGCCCTATGAAGTTTTTCGAGCTCGTGGAAAAATAAATGTTTTAATAAAATAAACTTCAAAATTTAAGTTTAAACTTAATTAGGGGCCAGAGGAAAATCATTGGTATGGTAATTAAACACGGACCTTCCAAAATACAGCTTCTTTATGATGTATGCGCTAAGCAGTCCAGCCTGTGGTATAAGAACAAACATTAAAACTTACAAATCATGTGATTCAAAAGAATACAAAGGCTCAAATGGGCAATAGCTCCAGAAGAGGGTGGAAAAGGAAGGAGACTCACAACAACTCCCAACACAGTGCTTGTAATAAATAAATATAAAAAATTTCCAACTAGCTGCAGAGCTGCACTTGTACTGATATGAGAAAGGTCAAAATTCTGGATTGCATTGAAGAGCACCACAGATGTCGCATCATTTACAACGCCTTCACCAAACACTAGACTGTATAGCAAGGGAGTCTCATCCTGATTAAGCACCTGCACCATCAAAGTTGATGAATAAGGCTATCATTCGTGATTCTGAAATCAACAGTATAAAGTAACAAAATATACCTGCAAGGTGCAAACGGAGTCTGTTGCAGCAAAAATTGCTCCAATTGCTGGAAGAAAGCGAGTGTAGTGAGTAACAGAAAAAAAATTATTAGCTACAATTAAGAGGGATTAAAGAGAGAGGGCAGGAGGTACCAAGATAATCTCCTATTGCGAGACCAAGATTCATATTTCGGAAAAAGGTAATGGCCCCTGATACAAAATTTAAGATAGTAATCAAAAACAGATAATTAGTTATATTCTAAATGATGAAACAAATGGAATACTAACAGTAAAAAAAAAGCTGCAAAAGAAACCTCCTTTTCTTTTCAATTATTTCCCCTTAAATGTTTCCAGTGGACCAGTCTATCCTTAAAAATGAGCACCACTTAGCAGAGAAAGGAGGACAAAAAGTTACATATAAACCATATTGCTTGAAGTTGCTCACACTCTCATGCATGTTCTTCTTTTCCAGGAAAACAATTGCTCAATCAGGATATGGAAACATGATAATAAGATACAAATTACAGATTAGGAGCTACGTGAAGAACGAGAGTCTGACAACAATTGCGACAGCTAGGCATTAATATCCAAGCGAGAAAATCAGTCTCTCTTCCGTGCTGTTTTATTAAAGCAATTTCATTTACAGATATTTAAACCGAAGAAGGATGCACACCAAACTCAAGACTAGCACGTAAGAACTTCTCAATCCAGAGATTCCAGACTTTTACTTAGATTCCACTTTTCATGGTAAAAAATTAGAAAAGCGAAAAAAGAGCACTTCCCTACTTGGTTATAAACAGTAATAACAGAGGCAAAAGGATTTACCCAATGATATGATG